CTCCTTTAACGAGGCTTCGACTCATGTTTCCTGTAGGAAGCTGGATCGGGACCTGAACTGAACTCACTTCCTGTGTGAGGAGACGCGATGGCAGCGTAACTGTGATGTCATTGACCTCTCACTGAGACTGGAGCTGGTCCGTGAGCGGGCGGGTCTTTAAGTGCCAAGTGGGAGTAACTCATCTGGGATCAGCTGACTCCTGCTGCAGGTCATCAGCAGGTTATACCATGTTGGTGGACTGTGGGGGGGTGATGGAACAAACCATCACAGACTGGAAGTCTCCCACCTGCAGCGAGGACTTCCTTCCTCTTTTCTTCCCTCGAACTAAACCTGGTGCATGTTGTCTTTATCTGAGCTGTGCGTGAGAGAGCACATTTCTTTTTTAACATGCGGCGTTCAATAATTACCCATGATGCAGCGCGTGCAGGTGTGAGCAGCAGGTCGACGCTCGCTCTGATTTCAGGAGCTGAATCTGGAGTTTTGTTTGAGGTTCAGATCAGGAAGCTGACGATGTAAAATAATCTGAGAGCGACGAAGGCGAGAAGTCCTGATGAAGATTCACACGAGTAAAAATGATACTAATGAAAGTTGGAATAATTTGAAATGCTTTAATGTTTGATGTGATAAAACATTTAAAAAAGCTCTGAAAATAATTTTGATTTAATGCTCGAGTTGATTAAAATAATAAAATGACATTTAGAGAAAATGAGGAAATTTCAGATTAAATTTCTTTGATGAAGCTGAAAAAGAGAAACTGTAACGTGTGAAATCAGGATGTTTTTATTTACCTCGTTTTCTGTCACACTCATGTTTCCAGTTTCTTGTGACTGTTTCGATATTTTTAAACGTACGTTCATGTTCGATGACTCGTTTTGTTTTTCACATGAAGCCTTTTTCCCGTCGCGTCCTGAATCCTGGTCACGTGACCCACGAGCGGTTTGAGACTGAGTCTGATGTGCTCAGGTTTGAGGTGTTTGCGGTCAGAGCAGATTTCGGCTCTTCTTCTTCTCTGGATCTTCGCTTGCGGTCCTGCAGCAGCGGCTCAGTCTGCAGCTTCGTTCCATTTTATAGCAAACTGTCTGATTTTGTTTTCTTTGATGCATTTTGAACTGCAGCAGAGCCTCCTGCCCCATGCCTGCTCTGTTCTGCCTTACGCACAGTTAGACTCTGTAAAAAAACTAAAAGCTGTAACAAAGCGACCCGTGTGCTGCAGGGTGGTGGTAGTGATGGTAACCGTAGTGACGATAGTGTCGGGCTGTCCTGCAGCTTCACTGAGGCTGAACCTTCAGTCCCGGTTTAACAGCATGCTCCTCTGCTCTCAATAAACTCCTCAGCGACTCTCTGTGTCCTGTCTCGTCTCCTCACACAATAACATTTCTATGGCTCTGTTATAAAACCTGATGGTGTGTAGAAATGACATGAAACATGGAGCTTTGTAAATATAATCTAACGTTAAGTAGCTCAAAAACCTTTTAGCAGCAGTCTAAACATGAAATAGTTTGAGAAAATAAATATCATTTAGAAAAAGCAGAACATTAATTCAGTAATTATATTATTTGATATTTATGTGGAGACTGAGTTTACATTTAGAGTTTAAAAACTAAAAATCTATTTTCTTTTTGGCATTTCTGCTTTCAATCACTAGGGGGCGGACTTTATTTTTCCGGGTTCGGAGGTCATCTCACCGGAAGCACGTGATTGCACTGCGAGTGAGGGGGGGGGAAAAAACACGCACTGGTCTCTACATGTGCAACACAGTCTGCTCCATGCTAAGAAAAGGATTACAAGTGTTGTGAGACTGGCTTAAATTTGCAGTTTTCTGATTGGAGTTTGGTGCAGAGGACGGAACAAACATGGAGGACATGAGCTTCATTAAGCTGCCGGGCAATGAGGGCAAACAGCCGGCCAAGAAGAGGGCGAAACTCCCGCAGTCTAGCCTGGAGG